AAAAATTTCAAAAATAACTAGTTTTAAAAAATGCTTGTCTGCTTTTAGCCTATTCTCAGGGCATTTGCTTCCAAATAAACATCAGGATACCCAAGATGCAAGAAGCAGTTGCTTTACGTGCATTGTTCAATATGGAAGAATTTTTTTTGGTGCGAATAATGCGTCACATTAATAACTTTAAATATGAAATGAACAAGATCAGAGAAGACAAAAAATAGTTTCGAAATTATTTTTTAAATTCTTATAGTTTATTTCTGAACATTATATTTGAGGTCAGAGCGTATACATTAAAACATAATTCAGAAATGATAACTGTCAAATGTGAAAGTGACTAGAGCCTACACTCTGGAGGCTTATGTATGAATAAAGACAAAAATACATGATTTCACTTAAGGACCATACAGAAGGAGTCTAGTTATAAAGTAGTGAATTGAATCAACATAAAATGGTCAGCTCTTTGTGTGTTTAGATGTAATCAATGTCATGGCTAGAGCAGGAAATGACGGAGGTTAGAAAGGCTGGATTTGAATCTTGAATCTGATGTGTAAGCATGGATGCAATCTTTGCCAAACTGCTAAAATTATTTGCACAGAAGCCTCTTGAATTGTCGATTGTTTATAATAGCATGCCTCTCCATTGGATTAAATTAACTGATATTAATCATACACAGCTCCAAGCACAGAGCAGGTACCCAACAAATGTTGGGTTGTCAGTCTGCATTCAGTTAATGAAGCATTCTCATGAATGCATTTCTTCTTCTGTTTCTAGGACTGAGTGATTGCATCAGAGGCCTCACTGTGGGGTCTCTGTTTTCTGGTTTATCTCAGAACTTCAATGGGCACAGACAATGAAACTCTCCCCCAAGACTTTCTGCTGTTGGGTTTTCCTGGGTCCCAGTTCCTTCAGCGCTCCCTTTTCATGCTTTTCCTGGTTATGTACATTCTCACAGTTGGTGGTAACATGGCTATCTTGATGTTGGTGAGTACCTCCCACCAGCTACACACCCCCATGTACTTCTTTCTGAGTAATCTATCTTTCCTGGAGATTTGGTACACCACAGCTGCAGTCCCCAAAGCCCTGGCCATCTTCCTGGGGAGAAGCCAAACCATATCATTCACCAGCTGCCTTTTGCAGATGTACCTTGTTTTCTCACTGGGCTGCACAGAGTACTTCCTCCTGGCAGCCATGGCTTACGACCCCTATCTGGCCATCTGTTACCCTCTCCACTACGGGGTCATCATGAATAGCCTCCTCTCAGTGCAGCTGGCCCTGGGCTCCTGGGTCTGTGGTTTCTTGGCCATTGCAGTGCCCACAGCCCTCATCAGCAGCCTGGCCTTCTGCGGCCCCCACACCATCAACCACTTCTTCTGTGACATTGCACCCTGGATTGCCCTAGCCTGTACCAGCACACGACCAGTGGAACTTGTGAGCTTTGTGATTGCTTCTGTGGTCATCCTGAGTTCCTGCCTTATCACCTCTTATGTAAAATAGGAACATTGATATTTTTTATTCTTAATTAATACTGTCCTTAGGATTTTAAAAAATGGTAAATGGCACATACATAAAACATCAGTATGAGCTGCTATTAAATATTCTGAGTTCTAGGCATCAGGAAACACAACATGACCTCAATTCTCACCCTCTAGGAAGAGGTTGCCATGGTTTATTTGGCAATAAGCCTACATTTTGCCAAATAACTAAAATTAACTTTTCTAAAGTTATCTTTATATATAGTTTTATCTGTTATATACATTTATTTATTTTGGTAACTAGTTATTATCAATAAATCCTAATGATAAATTTAATTAAATTAAGATTGCTGTACAAACCAACTGTTGCTTGTAAACACAATGTCAGCTCATAATGGACAACATACTGTCTCCCTCTGAATTTATCTTTTATGTATGATGCCTTTAGGGTTATCTTTCTAATATTGGAGCACACCACATACTACTTCCTCTCTCAGAAACTTCCCCCTTCTCCCTTATTGCCTACTGAAACACAATTTTTTTTCTTAAAGTATGACTATCTGAATGTGTTAACTTGTTATACCTCACATAACACACTAATACCTCTTTGTTCACAATTCAGTTTTGTCACCAGACCACATGCCATTTCCCAGGCACATTTTGTACATCATACCCCCTAAAGTTTTCAGCTTTAGTGTTTTTGCTTATAATACTTTCTTTCTTCTTTCTTTCCTTTCCCTTCACACTCCTCAAAAGCTGTTAACCTTTCAAAGACAATACCACATTCATACTTTCAGTTAGTCATTCAACAATCCTATCCAAGATCAAAATTAGTACATTATGTTAGTATTTTAAGTTGTTCCATGTTTAATTATCACCCCATGAT